TCTGCTATGCTCGCCTCTACAGGTAACTACTCGAGAACTCCATTTTATAATTTTTAGGATAGCCAAGGAATCGCGCCTTCAGCGGGAAACAGACCATCATTTGATCGTATATGTTATAACTGTGGAGAACCTGGGCATATGAGGAGAGATTGTCCCCACCCATGTGTGTTAGATTCCGCACAGTAGCATTCTAGAGCAGTGATACCCACGGGGAATGGTAATAATGGTCGAGGGCGTCCACAATGTGAGCGAGGAAGTAATCAGCGAAGCCGTAGAGGTAGAGGAAATGGTAATGGTAATGCGGGCAGAGGTAATGTGCAACTAGGCAGGGAAGTGGTTCATAAAGATGATAGGGACTCAATTTTATGCCTTTCCGGGCAATAATGAGGCAGAGACATCTGACGCGGTGATCACATGTACATTCTTGTCTGTGACCAAATGGCTAATGTATTATTTGATCCGGGTTCTATTTATTCTTATGTATCTGTGCGATTTACCTACGAGTTTGATATGATTTGTGATGTACTTGATGCCCCTATCCATGTTTCTACCTCAGTTGGAGAGTCAGTCATAGTCACTCATGTCTATCGTGCTTGTCCTATTTTGTTTATGAGTTTTTAGACTTGGGCTGATTTGGTGATTTTGGATATGGCTGACTTTGATATTATCTTAGGCATGACTTGGTTGCCCCCCTATTATGTTGTGTTAAATTGTAATACTACGTCTTGAACTCTAGAAATTTCGGGAAGGGAAAAATTAGAGTGGGAAGGGGTGTACAAGCCTAAGCAAGCTAAAATCATATCCTCCATTCGAGCTAGGAAACTGGTAGGGTAGGGTTGTTTAGCTTATTTGGCTCATATCCGGGATGTTGAGGTTGAGTCTCCATCTATTGAGTCTATTCCTGTGGTGTCGGAATTTAGAGAAGTGTTCCCAACTGATTTGCCTGGTATGCCTCCAAATAGAGATATAGATTTTTGCATTGTTTTGGAGCCTGGTACGCGCCCCATTTCTATCCCTCCATATTGCATGGCTCCGGTAGAATTGAGGGAGCTTAAGGCTCAAATCCACCAACTTCTTGATAAGGGATTTGTTCGTCCTAGTGCTTCCCCATGGGGTGGTCCTGTCTTGTTTGTTAAGAAGAAGGAGGAAAAAAGATGGTAGTATGAGAATGTGTATAGATTACCGGCAATTGAATAGAGTCACTATTTGAAACAAGTATCCCTTGCCTCGAATATATGATTTTTTTGACCAATTGCAAGGTGCATCAGTCTTCTCAAAAATTTATTTAAGGTCTGGTTACCATCAATTAAAAATTAGGCCTGAAGATGTGCCCAAGACAACGTTTAGGACTCGCTATAGGCACTATGAATTCCTAGTCATGTCCTTTTGGTTGACTAATGCGCCTGCAACTTTTATGAGTTTGATGAATCGGGTGTTCAAACCATTTCTTGATTCGTTTGTGATAGTTTTCAGTGATGATATTTTGGTATATTTGAAAAGTGAGGAAGAGCATGCCGACCATCTTTGTATTGTTCAGGGTGTTCTTGGGAAACAAAGGTTGTATGCTAAATTTTCTAAGTTTGTGAATTTTGGGTGAATTCTATTGCGTTTTTGGGGCATGTAGTTTCAAAGGAAGGGGTAATGGTAGATCCTCAAAAAATTGAGGCGGCTAAAAATTGATTTCGGCCTAGCTCTGTGATGGAAGTTAGGAGTTTTATGGGGCTCGCTAGCTACTACCGTCGATTTGTGAAGAATTTTGCTTCTATTTCCACTCACATGACTAATTTGACTAAGAAGGAGATAACATTTTAGTTGACTGAAAAATATGAGGAGAGCTTTCAAAAGCTCAAGACTCTCTTGACTACTGCACCTATCCTAGCATTACCGGTGGAAGGTAAGGATTTTATAGTTTATTATGATGCTTCTCATTCTGAATTGGGCGCTGTGTTAATGCAGGATAAGAATGTTATAGCCTATGCATTGCGCCAATTGAAGGTGCACGAGAGAAATTATCCAGCCCATGATTTAGAGTTGGCGGCGGTAGTATTTTTTCTTAAGATTTGGTGGCATTATCTTTATAGTGTTAAGTGTGAAGTGTTTACTGATTGTCGTAGTTTGTAGCATGTGTTCACTCAAAAGGATCTGAATTTGAGACAACGAAGATGGATGGAGTTACTCAAGGATTATGATGTGACTATTCAATACCATCCGGGTAAGGTTAATGTTGTGGCAGGCGCTTTGAGTTGAAAAGCGGTAAGTATGGGTAGCTTAGCTTACTTGAGTGTAACCAAGCGACCTTTGGCCAAGGAAATTCAGACCTTAAAGTCTAAGTTCATGCAGTTGGGCATCTCTGAAAGAGGCGGGGTGTTATCTAGCATTGAAGTTAAGGCCACATTCATTGAGGAGATCAAGGCCAAACAAATTGAGGATGAAAGTTGAACAAACTCAATGAGAAAATGGCGAATGGTAAGGCACAAGAGACCACACTTGATGTGGATGGTGTAATTAGTATGAAAGGGAGGATTTGTGTTCCTTGAGTTGATGACTTGATTCAAAAATTGTTGGCAGAATCTCATGGTTCATAATATTCTATTGATCCGGGTGTAACCAAGATGTATAGAGATCTGAAACGAATTTATTGGTGGTTGGGCATGAAGAAAGACATAGCGGAGTTTATGGCTAAGTGTCAAAATTGTCAACAAGTGAAGTATAAACATCAAAGGCCTGCAGGTTTACTTCAAAGGATGTCAATTCCAAAATAGAAGTGCGAAAGAATAACTATGAATTTTGTGGTTGGTCTACTCAAGACTTTGGGGAAGTTTGATTCTATTTGGGTAGTGGTAGTGGTTGATAGATTGACCAAGTCAGCTCATTTTATTCCGGTAAGAATAGATTATAATGTTGAGCAATTGGCTAAGATTTATGTGAAAGAGATAGTGAGATTGCATGGTGTGCCCCATTCTATCATGTCAGATCGTGGTACCCAATTCACTTCTAAGTTTTGGAGGAAATTGCATGATGAATTGGGAACACAAATCATTTTTAGTACAACCTTTCATCCACAGACGAATGGACAATCTGAGAGGACCATTTAAGTGTTGGAAGACATGTTGAGGGCATGTGTGATTAATTTTGGAGGGCATTGGGATAAATTCATACCTTTGTGTGAGTTCTCTTATAATAATAGTTATCACTCCATCATTAATATGGCACCATTTGAAGCACTATATGGGACGGGATATAGATCACCCATATGATGGTTTGAGGCTAGAGATGTGAAACCTTTGGGGGTTGATTTAGTGAATGATACTCAAGATAAGGTAAGGAGTATTCAAACTAAGCTTTTAGCAGCCCAGAGTAGACAGAAGAAATACACGGATCATAAGGTAAGAGACATGGAATTTCAGACCGGTGAGAATATTCTTCTTAAGGTATCACCTATGAAAGGGGTGATGAGATTTGGTAAGAAAGGTAAGCTAAGTCCTAGATATATTGGTCCCTTTGAAGTTCTTGAATGTGTAGGGCCGGTGGAATATAGATTGGCTTTACCTCCTAATCTATCCGGTGTTCATCTAGTATTTCATATGTGTATGTTGAAGAGATATCATGGTGACGAAGATTATATCATTGAGTGAGACTCAATTGTGTTAGACAAAGACCTCCAATACGAAGAAGAACCAATTGTTATTCTTGATCATGATGTGCGTAAATTGAGGACCAAAGAGATTAAGACAGTGAAACTTCAATGGAAGCATCGTCCAGTTGAAGAGGCTACTTGGAAAACCAAGAGGGACATGCAAGACAAGTATCCCCAATTGTTCGTCGAATTAGGTACTACTTCATTCTTTCCTTAGCCTACTTTTCCTAAGTTTTGTCACTCGGGGACGAGTGATAGGTAAATTGGTATCTATTGTAACGACCGGCTTCCGTCGTTATAGAAATGCCAACGGGAGAAAATTTGTGGCTGGAACAACTTTTTTCGTAGTATTACAATTTTACTAACCTTGTCCAAATTTGGATGAAATCAGAGTAGGTGAGGTGTAGGGAAATCTGGTAACAATCAAGTGAATTAATTATGGTTTTGATTGCATGAGTGGTTAGGTAACTCATTAAGGAATCCGTACGACCTTACGAAATTGAATTTGGATGAGTAGATCTCCGGGAATTGATCTTAGCGTGAAAGATATTTTCTGAGCGTCGTTGATTAGAGGTGTGTTATGGAATGGGGTTTTGGAATTCTTTAAAACAGCATTTTGTTTCAATTTTGCCGTTTTGGCGGGCGTCTGTGGCACTTTGGCGAGGCCGCTGCGGTGGGATGGTCGCCACTATGACGGGCGAGACGGGACTTAAAATCGTAATTACTCACTGGTTTGAAAATGCCGCTGTGACGGGGCAAGGTGTCGCTTTGGAGCTGCCGCTACAACGGGATGAGGGCCAAACGCGACTTAATATCGTTAATAAACCCCTAAACGACCTTATTTGATACTTTTCGACTTTTAGAGCTAAGTAACGAACCCCTGACGATTTCTACTCTTTTTTTCACAATTCTTAAGGCTAAAGGTAAGCTTTTAACTCCCCAAATCCAT